AAAGAGATTATTTATTTTCGTCTGCCTGCATGAATATTCAAGCAATCTTCTTAAAGAAAAATATACTGCTCCCGGAAGGATTTGATCTTGCGTCCCCGTTGGCAGAAGGAACCGTGATTAGATGCGACTTGCCGTCTTGGCCATGGAGTGCGTCGTCTTGAAGATGATTCAGTCCACTAAAACACGTTGATCTTCATTCTACCCGCTCCAAGACTAAGCGCTCAAGGGTGTTATGTGGTATATTGACTGCTGACAAGTTGCTTTTCAGCTTGTCTTTGTATCTTAGCCATGGGCGTCCTATATTCCTGTAGCCCTGATCTAACTGGCTGTACATTAGGATCTTGGGTATCCTGTCATCAGACATCCACAAGTCATGACCAGTCCACCGTAACTGAGACTGTATGAGAAAAATCTCTATTCCTCCAATATTACACCTGTTAAACAGGTCTACGTTAGATGTCCTACCTTGAAGCTTAACTCCACAGATTGCACGCAAACAGCTTTTATGGAAGACACACACACACACACACACACACACACACACACACATATATATATATATATATATATATATATATATAATTCTTTCGTTGACTTAGTTAAAAATATTACTAAAAAAGAAGTAGTAAAGAATGTGCCGGATGAAATATCTTAACTAACTAAATGGAAAAACTGGTGGAAAATTTTCGATGTAAGATTTTTTAACTTTGTAATTGGTGCGACACAGAGAACCAACTTTCCTTGCGGTAGATGCAGCCATTGATTCAATGTACATGTTCCACCTCAGGTCAGTGGAAAACGTGAGACCAAGAAGGCGCAGTGAGCGGCTCTCGTGGAGTTGAGCACCAAGAAGTTAAGGGAATATGAAATTGAAATGCTTTTTGGCATACGTAAAAAAAAAAAAAAAAAAAAAAACTAACAGAAGAAAACCAAAAATATATCGGCCTAAAATTGTATGCGAAGTATGTGGGAAATTTATCAACTTCCCAAATTGAGTCGTGGCTGAGATACAATGATGAAACAATTGAACAGTATAAAAATACTTTATATAAGAAATATATTATGCAACAAAAATGAGAATAGAGGATTGTAAAAAAATGTATTCTTTTAGCAATTAAAAGCCATCACATGAGAGATGATATCCAAATACATGTGCCTACATGAAACATTTATCTGATATATTTTATATCTTCTGATAGCTGCTTAACATGCATTATTTCAGGTTTGTCCGTGGCTAGTATCGCCTTATCTTGGAATAAGCTGAAAAAACGTTTCTCCTCGCCTAAATTCTATTTGGCGCCTAATTTTGGGTCAAGTCCATTATTATCACATGAATCTCTCCTTACTTTTTTTTTGAAAAACAATTCACCCCATGCAAGGCTGGAGTGCCACTCGTACGCAAGACGTTACAAAAAAAGGAAAAGAATGGGTTTAGCGGCTGAAGAAAGGATAAACAGATGAATGAAAGAGGATAAAAAAAAGAACGGGGGATCAAGGCAACCGAAGATGTCGATTGACATTACATTTAAATTTTTGAAGATTATAGTTATCAGGGAAGCAAGTAAGAGGAAGGGAGTTTCACTGTCGGGAAGTTCGAGAGAAGAAGCTGTTGGAGTAGAACTCCATTTAACTGTTTCGACAGTAATGGAGTGGGACCGAGATACCTACCTAGTAGAACGCTTAAATTCATGCATTCGAGACACTAGCTTGTCAGAGCAAATGCCATGAAAATATTTATAGAAAAGACACAGCGAAGCCATATTATGTGAGAACGTGACTGTAGCCGAGACCCCAAGTCAGAACCGATCACATTGCATACCCATCTTTGGATTTTCTCGAGAACCTCGAGATGAACAGTGAGGGTACTAGACCATATATGTCAGCAGTATTCCACGCATGGACAAATGGTAGATTTGTAGATGTGAAGGATGGACTCAGAGGAGAAAAAACATCTGGTGCGACACAGAAAACCAACTTTCCTTGCGGTAGATGTAGCTATTGATTCAATGTAGTTGTGTCACCTCAGGTCAGTGCAGAACGTGAGACCAAGAATGCGCAGTGAGCCGAAAACGTGGAGTTGAGCATCAAACATACTAGAAAAAAATTGATAAAAGAATTTTACATTTAATTTTAGGCATTTAAAAAATTTCTTAACACGCTTTTCTCGTTACTTTAAAAAAAAAAATCAACTTAGGTTCGTGCATGTGTCTATCTGAATTGCTTTAATTTTGTGTGAATCTTGCATTTCTTTTTAAACCAACGTATTCTGTATGAGTAACTTTGTATATAGATAGCTGACGGCTTTTTCTTTTCAAAGGTCGATGAATTTTCGAAAAAAAAATTACTTCATTTAGCTGGTGGCAATTTCGATTAAGGCGATGTAATTTATTGTGCAATTGAACTTTGTTGTCTTTGGAAGATTCTGTTCACAGAAACAATTGCAAATGAGTGCTGCAAATTTGTTATCTACGCTTTGGGGCGTGGTTAAATGAATGAGTTACTATTGAGAGTTAATCACTGTACAAGAAGAAGAAGAAGAAGAAGAAGAAGAAGAAGAAGAAGAAGAAGAAGAAGAAGAAGAAGAAAACGAGTGGGAAAGAAAACTGCGACAGAAAGGTAAATCAAACAAGAAAGGGAAAAATAAAAAAAAGAAATTGGAAAAAGCAGAACGCGCTGAATAAAAGAATAAGATGGAGGCAGAAATTAGAATGGAAGGAAAATGTATGCTACGAAGTCTCTCTTCGGGAAAATATATAGCGAGGGAAATAAAAGAAGAAGAAGAAGAAGAAGAAGAAGAAGAAGAAGAAGAAGAAGAAGTGTAGTGAAAGAAAGAATTTGGAAAAAATATAGAACGTAGATAAAATGAAGAGAGTAGGAATATATGAAAAAAGAAAGGAGGAGAAGTTGGCGAAAGAGAAGAAGGAGACAACTATAAAAGCACAGGAGGAAGAGATTATAAAGATGTTGAGGGAGGGCACTTCGACCGAATTGATGCAATGCTTTACAACTTGTCTCGTTAGGTCAATTATGATTGACTGGTGAGTTCGATCCTGCCTGGGTTCCATAGTTTCGGCCTTGTGTCACATCTAAGTTGAATTGATAAATCAATATAAATGCGAGAGAGGGAGAGAATCATGAAACAAAATGGAGGAAGAAGAATATGTCCGTCGTCTGGAGATAAAAAAAGAACAACAAAACGAAAGAAATATAAAATATACAAGATTAGAAAAAATTAAAATAATGCGCCAATTTAAAATCTGGAAGAAAAGAAACAGATAAATAAAGGCCCCTTTATGTCTTTCTATTGTTCATTCCTCAATGACAGTGAATGTCATAATTTGAAGCTAAAGCAAAGCAAGGACCGTATATGACAATTTCAAAGTGCATAAGTAGGTTTCCCTAAGTCAGAAACAGGTTAAGAAGAAGCCCGTCCTCTACCAATTGCGCTATATGCTCTGCTACTATAAGTTTAATAACTGTAAGAAATAATGCGATGCACAATAAAATCCTCAAAATCAGAACTTTTTGTGAATTTTAAATTGGAAAGGAAAAAAAAAGCAGATAACGCCTTTGAGAAGGAAAGTATGAGGCAATAATGAATCCAAAGTAATTGGATGAATATTTTTGAATTGCATTGTAGATACATTAATTAAATGACTCACTGTTTAATAATCAAGCAAAATATTGTATCCAGTCCAGGAGATTAAATTTCAGTCGGTTTAGTCTGTGTCATACATGCGCGATTGTGTCTCTTCTGATTCACGACTGACGAGCAGAAGATTTTTCCGCAGTAGGCTGCCATTTTTTTTTCCGAGGTGTACTGTTTGCCAATCAAAGGCTATAAGACCTAGACTCTTCAGCTATTCAACACATAGCTAGAAGGAAATGAGACAAATTTATGCCTTTCCCAATGGTATTTGTGCGTAAGCGAATGTAACCACCTCTGATAGAATTCGAACACCTTTCTGCGACTTCTCAATCCGAGCCGATATACATTACACCATATGAGGGACAGCTTACGCGGATATGAGGAGAAAGATAATTGTTAACCATATACTTAAACAAGTTAAGATTTTAGCGATCGAGGAAGCTTTCTCTTGGGAGACCGTTCCAAAAGGAAGCGCTTCATAGGAAGAAGCATCTTCGAGCCTCGAGTGGAAATTACATCGCACTAAAAGAATGCGTAGGGAATGTAGGTTGTTGGCTAAAAAAGTGATATGGCGGATCTTAGACACGAAGGTTAGGGCTAGTGGAATTAAGGAGTGTAGTTCATACTTGGAAATAGGGCGAGAATCATAATTGTGAATATACAAGAGAAGCGTCTTCTAAGAATATGAAAACACTAACTCGCCTTATTAATACGCTCGGAAATATCTGTAAGAGCATTGGTAAATTTTTAAGAGTCTACATCACGAGAAAGAACAGAAATCATTTGAACAACGGTATGATTAATAACTGGAAGGTCAAGGAACTGATGGAGTGTTGAAAAAATATTTCAAATGAAATTCACCGGAGAGTGCCGGTATGAAAAGTTAATGAATCAATATATTAGTAGCAGCAGTAATTAAGAAAAAAAAAAGCATTGAAAAGAAAATGCAGTCAAAAAATTACTAGAGGAGGAGAGAGAAATGGAGAGTACAGGAGATTGTGGAGTAGGTTGGCGTATCGTTAGAGACGGGTAAAAACAGATAAAGAAAATTAAATATATTTACATTTTCTAAAAGCTAAAAGCAAGAAATTCCTGAAAGGCACCAAAATGATAAATAATTCTAAAAGTGATCGGTGGAAATAAACTAATAAAAATTATTCTTAACTTCTAAAAAGAATCGAGATAGGTAGCGCTTCACGTTTATATATATATATATATATATATATATATATATATATATATATATATATATATATATGTAGGTTTATTAATTGATATGTATGTGAAATATATATATATATATATATATATATATATATATATATATATATATATGTATTCGTGCGTGTGTTGTGATTTCACCAGTAAGTCCGCAAAAAAATGATAGATATATTTTCAAAATGGTTGCATTTTCTGTCAATGCACATAATACACTACTGAATATGATTCACGTACATCAATCCTTCTACACAGAAAGTTTCAGTCCTGCTGATTTATTGCCCCTCCCTCGTATATATATATATATATATATATATATATATATATATATATATATATAAAAACTTTTCTTCATCGACGCGTTTTGTCCTTTAATGCACTTTATCATTTTTAATATTTTCAGAGAAATATTTTTTATTTATATTTGTATTTTACACTGACAGACACACAGACGTGTATATATATATATATATATATATATATATATATATATATATATATATATATGCAGAGAAAATGATGAAATATTGGAATATGTTATTTATCCGACATTATTTCTTATTCCGATAAACAATATTTGAGTTGATATATAGAAATACACGTTAGTTATGATAACAAATATATATATATATATATATATATGTGTGTGTGTGTATAGATATATATATCCTCTCTCGCTCTTCCCCTCACCTCCATCTCAATCTCATTACATATATAGTCATAAAAAAAGTTATAAAAATCAGATAAATGACAATTACAAACAATATGAAACAAGACTTAAGAACATTATAAAAAATTCCACAACACCAGTAGACAAGAGCAAAAAATTAATTGTTGATTAGAAAAAAAATTAAAACCGTTTATCTAATAGTTAAAAAAATAATTCGCCTCTTAGAACAAAATTAAGCAGAAGAAATATTATTTACGCATTTAAATGTCCATTAAGAAATTGTATTCCTGATAAATCAAAATTCTGAAAAAATTATATAGGCCACACCACAAAATGTTTAACAAGAATCCTCACTCTTCATGTTTCTGACCATAGATCAATTAGGTTTCATTTAAATACTTACTGGAACTTATTCACAACATACTTATAAAATAGCATCGTCTACATGTAAAAAAAAAGGCCAACACTGAATAATATCAATTATGAATATGGGCACAATTTGTTGACCGTGTTTTGAAAATGAATCATTATATAAAGATATACAGCTAGATAGATAGATAGAAAAAATACGTGAATAGATAGATAGATAGATAGATAGATAGATAGATAGATAGATAGATAATCTGACTCTTCTTTCTATTTATTTGGATGAGAGGAAGGCGAGCCTTCAAGTTAGAGGGAACAGAGTATGGTTTGATGTATTTGTACCTAACAGTGAAGCTGAAAGCGCTCGGGAAAAAAAAAACAACATTTGGACGGTTTTTGTATAATTTATGTACGGAAAAGAAAAAAAATGAGATCACTTTGGAAATTATAAGAATATCTTAATCAAAGCACCTTGTCTGTCATAATTAATAAATCTTGCATGAAAGAAGGTTCGCTGTCTAAATACACAACATGTGAGGATTTATACACACACACACATACATACATATATATATATATATATATATATATATATATATATATATACTCATATGCATATACATACATATATAAAGATACATCTGCATATATATACATGTATACATGCATATATATATGCACACACATAAATACATAAATATATAAAGATACATATACATGCATATATATACATACATATATAAAGATACATATGCATATATATATATACATGCATAAATATATATATATATATATATATATATATATATATATACAAATAAATACATAAATGTCTTTTTACTTATATACATATACATATATGTATTTATGTATGCATACTGTATACGTATGCTTACATTTATACGCACGCATTGTGTCTGTGTTACTGTACGTCCAGATATAAAAACACACATATATGCATACATATGTATATGTATCTATATACTTATATGTATATCTATTAATACAAACATACATCTCTCTATATATATATATATATCTCTCCTCTCTCTCTCTATATATATATATATATATATATATATATATATATATATAGTATATTAGATTATGAAATAGAAAAGTAAAACATTTTTGATTTGAGTTTTAATTTTACGACCTCTGTTTTCTTGAACTCGCTGAATTGAATCGACCGATCAATGTTTTATAACTGGACCCTTGATGTGTAAAGCGCGGGCTTTTGAAGTGAACAGTATTCTTTGATCTATTGTGACTTGAACGGGCTTTACGCTTTCAAGGAGCGTCTTCTTCGTTTTTATTTTTAAATTTCATTTTCGTTTTTCCCCATCGACCGGGTTTCAAACGTGGCTCATAAAAATGATGATCGCCAGACATTCCGCCACAAAGTTTCCAGTAATCGAATAATGGGTGAAATATATTCTTTCAGTAATCCTCACACTTGCATGCACGTATCGGTAAAACATGCCCCAACATTAAAAATATACGAGTTAACCTCTCTCTCTCTCTCACTCTCTCACTCTATATTTCTATTTCAGTATCTATCTATCTATCTATCTATCTATTCTCATCATTTTATATCAATCTACTTCAATCTTTTCATATCCATCGATCTCATTTTTTTACATTTGTCTATTTCAGTCTCTTCTTATCTATCTATCTATCTATCTATCTATCTATCTATCTATCTATCTATCTATCTATTCACGTATTTTTTCTATCTATCTATCTATCTATCTATCTATCTATCTATCTATCTATCTATCTATCCCCGTTTTTTATATGTATCAATCTATCTTTTTCAATCTTTTCATATCCATCGATCTCATTTTTTTACATTTGTCTATTTCAGTCTCTTCGTATCTATCTATCTATCTATCTATCTATCTATCTATCTATCTATTCACGTATTTTTTCTATCTATCTATCTATCTATCTATCTATCTATCTATCTATCTATCTATTTATTCCCGTTTTTTATATCTATCAATCTATCTTTTTCAATCTTTTCATATCCATCGATCTCATTTTTTTACTTTTGTCTATTTCAGTCTCTTCGTATCTATCTATCTATCTATCTATCTATCTATCTATTCACGTATTTTTTCTATCTATCTATCTATCTATCTCTCTATTCTCGTTTTTTATATCTATCAATCTATCTTTTTCAATTTTTTCATGTCTATCGATGTCATTTTTTTACATCTATCTATTTCGGTCTTTTCATATCTATCTATCTATCTATCTATCTATTTATCTATCTATCTATCTATCTATCTCAATCTTTACATATCTATCGATCTTTTTCATCTATCTATCTATCTATCTATCTATCTATCTATCTATCTATCTATCTATCTATCTATTGGTTTTCTTAAACGTTACCTTACCTAGGCTCATCCGCTTGAGCCAGAAACAGAGAGACAATCCATGCAGCGGAAACACACCACCTCACCTCCTCCAAAGAAGGCCACACCTACAACAGAGAACACTATGCCAATTTGATGATGCACTTACGTAAAGCAATGAATAACAAACGCCCAGGAAACCGGGCATCAGGACAATGGTCCAGCGCACAAGTCCGTGGTTTCAATCGTGACTGTAGCTTTAAGCTTGTTGATCACACACCCTATTCTCCTGATTTGACTATCATCTGTTCCCCAACAAGAAAAGAATTGGCTGGGAAAGATTATTTCAGTGATGATGCTGATTAAATTTTTGCCAACAAGATGAACAGTTTTCTTTGAAAAGTCAGATGCTAGTTTAAATGGAAAAACTATGAAGTTATTAATAAGACAAGTTGAAATTAATGCATGTGCGATTTCACAGCTCTAGCATATACTTCTTCAGAAAAAAAAAAAAAACTATGAACTTTTCAACCTACCCTACGTATAAACGATGCAATGGGGAAATTGTCGCCATTTTATATTTTTTTAATTTCGCGCCTGCGCGTCTTTTTATTTAGTCGATTGCACAGTATAGCATGACCAGTTTGTCATCGGCTGTAATAAAAAAGAACAACATGACGCAATCCAACCCACCAGAAATTTGGAAAGGGCATGCTATATTACTTGGCAGTCGCATTGAAGCTCTAATACGAATATTTCAGACTGTTTGGGTGTCAATCTAAGGAGAGTGCAGAGGATTTGGAAAGACTAGGATGCGGCTAATGGTGATTACGAAGGTGCGACAGCTTGGAAAACTCACTCTGGCTGTTATAATAAAAAAAATCCAGAATTTTTTAGTAATGGCCTCTGGGTACTAACTTCAATGCGCAATTTTATATTTACATACGCTCTATATTGTGCACTTTAAGCCATAATTGTAGCATAACTTAAAGCTCTATTTTATCATATATATATATATATATATATTAAAAAGAAGAGGGGTGCCGCAAACGTTTTTGGTTGTAATGTGGATTTATTGAGAAAAATATTATACTTTGTTTTACATAATTTCACGACACGTGTTTCTGGTCTGGTCTCGCAAACCGTCTTCAGGTGAAAGTGGAGATTTTTACATATTATTAAAAATAATTAATTTTCTTCATGTTCAATGTGGAATATTCTCGATATGAGACATTCTGTTTTGTGTGTTGGCAATCCGAATTTTCTTTTCAGGTGGCCTGACGATTACGTCAAGCATGAATCGTCAGGTCGCCTTTTAAGTGTTGCCTTCTATGTTCACTTTTATATTGAAATATATATATATATATATATATAATTCATATATATATATATATATATATATATATATATATATATATATATATATATATATACGTGTATGTATATACAGTGTAACCCGGATGTAAGAGAGTTGTCGGGACTGGAGACCAGAGAAAATCTCTCTTATATCCGGGTTTCTCTTATATCCGGGTCTCTTATATCCGGGTTACACTGTATATATAATTTATACGAAAATTATAGCATAAATATGTTATAAAATCACTACAAAAATACTCATTTTCTTTCAACACTTCCGGTGCCTTATGAAATGATGGTGTTGGATGTAGAATAATGCTAAAGTTTTAAAAGGCTGAAATCAACCAAACACTTCTCGATTTGGTTGATTTCAGTCTCCAGTCCTTTAATCCGGGATCTTTATTCTATATAAGGCATCCAGGTTATATATATATATATATACGTATATATATATATATATATATATATATATATATATATATATATATATATATATATATATATATATATATATATATATTTGCGTCTTTCCTCACAATGACAATGGAGCGCGAATCGGACATGTGAATAGAAAAAAAAACATGTGGAGTTATAATATGAGTATTTTTGCTTCCCCAAAGAAAATAGCAAAAAACGATTTGCCTCTCTTACCCACTGAAAAAATAAATTTGGCAGAAAATTATATTATATCAACTGCCTAAATCGAGCCTTTTTATGCTCCATTCATTTTATTTGGCTCACCATTTTTCAAAAGACTTACATTAATTTGCTTTGCAAATGAAATATTCATTAAGTCTGGAATTATGACCAAAGTGCGCATTCAGGACCTAAAAAAGAAATTGGTTTAGGTTTATCGATCTGAAGAATGCTGCGGTAAAAAAAAAAAATCATCGAAACGATTCAGCTGTCTTATCGATCGGTCGTAAATGGAATTAAATTTCTACTGTATTAACGCATGTTAAGTTCGGGCAGTTGAAGGAGGATTGCAAGACGTGGGTGACGAAAATAATTATGGAAGATTTAGTCGACTAGAAATCGAGAGCAAAGGATATCGAGACGGATCTAAGGTACGTTGAAATAGACATGCCCGTTTCAACAGTTTGAACAAAATGGAGCCGACAAGATCTTCACGAACGGGTGGCAGCAAGGAAGACTGTGGTGTAGACTATTTCCTAATAGGTTTTGCAGATAAGTCGAATGAATACAGAAATAAAATTATTTGGTCATACGTTACATTTCAAAACCATCCAGCTACCTTATTTTTGAAAATAAAAAACCACAGCGCACAATATATATATATATATATATATATATATATGTGTGTGTGTGTGTGTGTATGTGTGTGTGTGTGTGTGTGTCTGTGTGTGTGTTTGTGTGTGTGTGTGTAAGTGGGCATTGAAGTCATCACTCAGAGGCGACAGTCTGTTTCAGGCTAAACGCAATCGTCAGGCCATGTGCGTTATGTTTTTGCTCGAGTTTTTTTATATATACAGATTAATGATGTATTGTGGGTAGTCTAATGCATTATGGGTAGTCTCATGTATCATGCTAAGGGTCATTTTGGTGTGTGTTGTTTATTAATGCGTTTATTATTTATTAAGTTTATTATTTATTTGCTTGAATTAATTTATTTTCCTTGTTTTTGTTTAGTCGTTTTATAAATTTATTTTCATTTATTCTTGTTCTTTTTAAGTTTTCGATTTTTAAGTAGCGCAGCAAACATTTATTTTCGTGTTTGCATTTTGAGAAGTGTTCCGATCGTTTATTTAGTACTATGTTTTGGTCTAGAAATGTAATTATGATATTTTTTTCCTCTAGGCAGAGTTTAGAATTTTTGGATTGATTGTTCTAGGCTGATGTTCTTTTCCTTAATTTCCATGATATTTTTGGTGTGATGTATTTTTCGTTTTTAATCTTCCAGATATGTTTAGAAAATATTGAGCTGGACGCGTATTTATTATTTGTAAAGGATATTTTGTGCGCGTTGTTTCTTTGTTTCCAGTGTCCTTCAGTTACTCCTATGTATATTGTCTTTGTTATCTCTTGATCATTCAGTGGCTTGGTATATGATATTGTTCTGCATGCAATTGCCTTTTAAGGGAAATTCATTCTTTATTCTGCAATTATGTGGATGTAATTTTTGAGGTGATTTGTTGATTGTTTTCTTGTTGTGTATTTTTGTTACTGGTGTCATGTTCTCGGTGTGAATGTTGAGACAGATCTTAGCGAGGAGAAAGAATAAAAAATAAACTAGTTTCAGGAAGACAGGAAATTGCGATTTATGTTGCATTTTATTTAACCGAGATTGTATGAGACAGAGAAAAAAGAAACTGGAAGAGAATTTCTCAAGCGAGAAATTTTTACTAGAATTCAACATAGGTTAACATCTATTTAAAAGTAAAATAATGATCCCTAGTAGCTAATATAGTAGTAGTATGCTATTGAGGAGCCAAGGAGGAAAACACATTAGAAAAATTGGTATGAAAATATTTACAGACAGACGCATGGAAGTCAGATCAGGATTGATGTGGAGATGCCAGGTCAGAACGGATAACATTGCAGGCAGTTCTTTCGAATTTGTTTAGGATGTCAAGCTATCATACAGGAGCCTCGGGCTAGAAATGGCAGAAATATTCAATGCACGGGAGAATGGTGGCTTTTTAAAAGCGCAAGAGTCATTCAATTGACATGCAATATCACGCACGTCGCAGTGAACCAACTCCTAGCAGCAGACCTAGCTAATGATTCAATGTAATCACTCTATTTGTCAGTGGAAAACGTTCGCCCAAGAAAACGCAATAATTAGCTCTCCTGAAGGTTAGCATCAGCCATGCTGATGGAGCGCAAAAATGATAGCGTTTTTCTTTTGGAGGAGTTAGAATTTACAAGCCATTTCTTGTACCAGTTAACAACTGATTGGATTTCAGTTTCAAGATCAGCTGTCAGTTCTACTGTGTCAGATCTATTAAGGCAAGAGTAAATAGTTGTGTGATCAGCATAAGTACCCAATTGGGAACTAAAGACAACGGGAAGGTTGTTGGCAAAAGATATGAACCAACGTTAATTCAAGTATAAAGCCCTGGTGTAACACGGAATTAATGCGAAGCATGGCTTTTATTCAACGATTTGATATGAACGAATGGATTAAGTCAAATTGTCCTTGAGCCTGTGAAAAAAGCCAGTATGCCAAACTCTAGCAAACACCCGTCGAGATCTTTAAAGCCACAATACGAGACTCGACGGTCTTCTCTAAATTTGATAAACGAATTCAGTAATAAACGTTAAACATCAGCGGTTGACCTAGAGAAACGAAAGCGATGTTGTTTATCCGAAAGAAGGCAGTGTAAAATGCGGTGTTTAACCAATTGGGAATTGATTGGACAAAAGAATGAACAAGAAAAGGCAAGAAAATCTGAGAGGTCAGACAAAATTATCTCTCTGAATTCCTGAGACGTTCAGGTGAATTTCTGACAGCCTGAATGTCATAGAATGGATGAACTCACGGATTTAAACTAATGATAAAATCTGATTTGCCTCTTTAGAAATCCTAACTGAATTCTGCAAAACAAACGGTAGCTCAACAAGAACTGCCCAAATACACGTTTCTAACTATGAAGACATTTGCGCCTATCGATCCTGCTAAATTTTATTAACGCTAGGTTTGAGCGATATTT